GGGCGGCGCCGCCCAGTCCGGCCCGGCCCCTGGCCGAGCACCTCCAGCCCCACCGCCAGGCCCTCCCTCCTATTTTCCCGGACATGTCCGGCTTTTGGGGATTTCCTCCCGGACGGGGATTTGAGGCCCAAAAAGCTGGACATGTCCAGGAAAATCCAGACATATGGTAACCCTACATAATTTGAGTGTATTAGTAACAGATTTATACATTTTTGCACTTGCAGAGAAAACAGATGAGTTATACTCATTAAAAAATGCATGTTTGACTTTTAAATGACCAAAATCAAAGAGGGAGCGCATGGAGATGAGCACATTGTCCCAAACACACAGGAAAAATGCCAACGTGTGAAGGATGTGGTTTTAATTAGGCTGCACCTTTATTATCTCGTTTGGGAATTATCTGGCAATGAGCTACACTGTACAAATTATCATTCCCTCCTCGCTCATTTCCAACTACTTGTGGAAGGTGGCCATCAGTCCCCCCATAAATCCACCACCCTCCCCTCACATAAGCGCTCAGGGGGCTGAGAAAAGGGGATTGTTAGGAGCTTCGGTCTCATTCCCCAGCTGCTTTAGGGGATGCCTTCCCCCAGAGTGTACTTCCAATTCCAGTTTTTCAGGGAACCAGACCCCTATAGAACCCCCTGCACTGGACACCTGCCACTAGTTTGGCTGCCACTCCCCACTGCCCGCCAGGTTCCCAAATACTTAATAAGTCCCTCCCAAACCAAAAATATATATCCTGGATCAGAGAGCTGTACTCCATTATCCCTAAAAATTTTGGTGTGCAAGTATCAACTTCCCTCTCCTGATGATTCACACTTTGTAAACCTACAGAGGCCTGATAGAATCCCACCACACTGTCCACTGTAATATTTCAAACCAGTTTGCAGTCTGCCCAGGGAAAAGGTCCTGGATCTGCCCTAAATCTCTCTGTTCTTGATGATTAAGTCCCCCTGCCCCATACAAAATCCCAGATCATTTTCACCCTGGTGTACAGTAATCATTTCAGCTGGCCATTTCTTGGATGCTCCTCTTGCCAAGACAACTCAGGTTTGCCTCAGCACCAAAGGCCCAGCTGCAAACCTCTAGGGAACTGGCTGCCCACCTCTGGGCCCATAGCTCCAAACATTGGCTCTTCCCTTGCTCCTGATATAACAACCCTTTATCCATATCAACTCAGAGTAGCCCAATGATGAGGCCCAGCTGTGAACTTCCAGGGGGAACTGGCCATCTGCCTGTGGGCCAAATGCGAGACAGAGCTCTACTGGCAGGTCAGGGCATAAATAGATATATAAACTCTCCCTGCTGGTCCACATGGGGCCCAATGGCTTTCAAGAGCCTTTCTAGCCAGTCCCTAGATCAGGTGATGCCTAACTCCCTTCCCCCCCCCACCAAAAGGAGGGGGGAACCCTTAAAAGAGCCACACCCTCTTTCTCGCTGCTTGACCAGACAAACCCCTCCCCATCTTTGAGGCTGTGGGGGCTGAATTTTGCAAATTGTTCAATTAAAATAGATCAGAATTCCTTACATTGGATTATGGGGATAGAAATGGGTGCCTTCAAATTTGCTGACCTTTTCCAGCTGGGCATCTTACTTCATCTGACAATGTAAAATGGAAGACTAATTTACACAAACAAATCACATTTTTCTAAATACTTCAAAGTGATGCCAAGTTTGACAAAAATTAAGGCCTTGCTCTACCTTGCCCCGAAAGACTCATTCTGGAATCTTTGTATTGCTGTGTATGTGTGTGTGCGCACACGTGTATGTATATATAGAAAGAGTTTTGAAGCGTCACACAGCAATCGCAGATTATAGGAGTCCATCCACACTCCATTTTTGATTATTACTATTTATTATTTGTATAACCGTTAACATCTAGAACAGAATAAAAAGATGGTTCCTGCCCCAAACATGGGGGAAAGATGCTAGATTCATCTAGTGAAGTTGATCTGATCGCATATACAGGTGTAAGTACCAAAACAATCAGAGAGTTTAAATTAAAACTAACTCAAGTACAGATTTAGGCACCAGCTATTATGTGCTCCATACAAATTTTAGTTCAGGTTTAAGACTGTCTATACCAGTGGTTCTCAACTTCCATAGTAGGATCCCTGCTGGAACTACCCTCCTATTTAGCAATAAGGGAAGGGCAGGTCATGAACTTGTGACCATCTGTCCCCCACACCAGATGAGGACTCCTGGTATCAATCATGCTGGAAAAAATCCAAGTAACAATGGAGATCATATGCATGTCCTGGGGATATAACCATGTTGCAAAATTCCAGGAAAATAATGGCTAAACAAATCTTAAATACAGCTCTTCTAATTTCATCTAAATTTTGCCTCCTATGTTAGGAAAAGGGCATGGGGGTGGGTATAATAGGCCAGGGAAGGCCGTTGCCATGGGACACTGGGCCAGGGATGCTGTGGTCCCGGGCCTGCCAGCGCGACTGGGGCTGTTCTGGCCGGGGCTTGATCGGTCGGCTGGCTGGGGCTACTCCAGACGGGGCTTGAGTTGGTTGGCCGGCTGGGACTGGCCTAGGGCTCCTTTGGCAGGGGAGCAGCTTGGGGTTCCGGCCAGCCAGGGGCTTCTCTGGCCACAGGGCGCAGGGGGCTCTGGCTGGAAGGGGTGAGGCTCAGGACTTCGTGTGGAAGAGGTGGGGCTGTGGGGCTAGTCTCCCCAAAGGGGGGTGAGAGTCCGTAGCCCAGTGGGCCAACTTACCTGTATTATATTCATTGCTTTGTTATTTTGCTTTATTATATTTAGTAGTAATGCAAGGAACCTACAGGCTTTTATCCTGTAAGATTTGGCTTTAGTAGATAGTGTGAGGCTTGACGCCTATAACCTTTGGTATAGATAAACTTAAGTAACTCGTAAGTTATAGGGTACTGAAAGTAGCATGCAAGAGGGGGAATTTGGTCCAGAATACTGACATCAGCCACCCACAGAACACAGCTGACCCCAGCACAGAACATAGTTGACACCAGCATCCGGAAAGTTCTGGGCAAGACCTCTGACCGCAAAGCTGCCATGACAGCAAATTGAAGTGTATGCTAATAGGGTAACATCATACATATATTAACCAATAGAAAACGGACACCTTAAGGAAAGCAAAGACAAATAAGGACCTCTATTGAATATGCATTGGTCATGGAGCTTTAGCATAACCTACTATAAAAGTAACATCCCAGGGGAAGCAGAGAGATTGTCAAGATGTAGACCGTAGGAGGAACAAGAATGATGGCCACCAGGGAAAATGAGGACGGTGACAGTGATGAGAAAGATAATGGTTAAGTTTGAAAGATAAGGGTGTAAGTATGGACGTCCAAATGTACTTTCTGTATTATCTCTAACTGCTTTGTTAAGTTTAAATGTGTGCATAACTTTGCTAAATTATTAAATCATATATTTATATATAGAGAGAGTTCCTATAGTGTGAGTGTTGCACCTGTACACATCGGGTTCCCAAATTATATGGCAATTTTACAATAATCTTACTGTGCCTGATCTTGGGAAAGAACCTGTTAATCCTCAAGTTACAATTATATATAGCCAACTTTGGGTCAGGCTACAAGTCCACCCATCACACATGGAACAGGGAACTGACATTTTCAAAATGTAAGAAAGAAAACAAAACAAAAAAACACCCCACCTACATCCCACCCAACATCAACAACCCTGCACTGATTCATCAATAAGT